GCCCCACTCCCAGGCAGGCAGGACGCCTGAGGGGGCGTGGCCTCTGGCCCCTGGGGCTGCCTGTGGGGCCTGACCCACTGTCTAGCACAGCCCTGGATCTATCCAAGCACAGCGAATATTACTGGGTGGACAAATGAGTGAGCGAGCGAATGAATCACTGCCACAGCTGAAGGCAAGACAGCAAAAATCAAGCACAGGGAGGCTGAGCCCGGTCTCGGCCCAGAGCTGGCTCATGGTGGCGCTCGGCCCCTATCCGAGGACCAGAAAAGCCGGATTCAGGGTCTCCCTGAACCCTCCCCCCCCCCCCCCCGCCAGTCTGCCCAGGACTCAGACCCCTGTACCTCCCTCCCACCTCCCTCCCCCACCTCCTCTGGCCTGGGCCCCCTGCCCTGCCTTACCTGTCCTCTTGGAAGCAGTGGGCAGCTGTGATCACCCAGCGGTCAGCGATGAGGGCTCCCCCACAGATGTGGCGACCCCGAACTTGGAGGCTGGCCTGCCAGGGCCACTCTCCCTCTGAGGACACGGCCCCACCCACGATGCGGCCCAAGGGGCCCTGGAGGCCACAGTCTGGGGGTGGAGAGTGCAGGGTAAGAAGGGGTGATGCCGGAGAAAGGCCAGTGAGAAACAGGCACACCAACAGCAGAAACTCAGAGCAGAAGGTGGGGGGAGAAAAGGGGGGGAGGGAGGGGCCGGCGGCCAGAGGCCAGTAGAGCTCAGGACGGCGGCGGGGACATGCAGACAGAAGCGGGGCTCCCTCCAGCTGCCCTGTGGGCCTCCCCGTCTCCCTCCTGACTCCCGACAGCCGGCAGGAGGGGCCTCCTCCCAGCGCCCGGCCAGCCGCGTCCAGGCAGGCTCACCACAGCCCTGCTCGTCCGAGCCGTCCCTGCAGTCAGGCCGCCCGTCGCACTGCGGGTTGGGCTTCTTGACGCAGCTGCGGTCCTCACAGCGGAAGGTGAAGGTCCCACAGGGCACCCCTGGGTGAAGGCGCGGGGGACAGGGCACAGGGGTGGGTCCCTATGCCTGAGGGATCCCCTAAGACAAGACCAGGGAAGGTGGAGCCCAGAAGCCAGGAGGCTCCCATCACACTGAAGTCCCCCGAGGGGCCTCAGCCCTCCCCACTCTGCCCCCAGCTGTCAGGAACAAGGCTGTCACTCCCGGGCTCCTGACCAGGTGTGGACCCTGATGACAAAGCTGTGCCAGACTCCAAGGCAGGGCAGCGCCTGTCCTGCCAGACGAAGGCCTCCCCCGGCAAGTAATGCCCCCGGCCTGGCCCCACCTAGCTGCCACACTCGGCTCTTGACTGGTCTCCTACTCAGACCTGACCCTCCAAGGCCCAGCTCAGATACTGCTTCCTCTGGGACATTTTCCCTGCCTGATCTCCACCACCCAGCCAGGCTCCCCCACTAGCAGAAGTCATGTCACAAAGGCTTTGGGGCAGAGAGTCACCCAGCATGTCTGCCTACTCACAGATGACCTCTGAGTGCAGGGGCCATGGTGCCTCTGCTCCCAGGTTCTCACTGCCTTGCCTACCTCCAAGTGCTCTGCAGATGCTGGGTGGGT